CAATCAAGGAGGGCAGCTAAAACTGGAGGAAGAGCTCGTTTCGTCGAACAGCGTGACAGAGGGAGACAGCAAAGTGTCTCACTGGAGCATGTGTTTAGAAACCTCCAAGGATTTAAAACATCATTCTTTGCTTAAAACCAAGAAAAGTTCTCTTTTAATCCTCTGTTTTGAGTAAGGTCCTGGAAAATAAAGCAGGGGGAGGACCAAAAGAACGTTGCCAGTCAAACACACTTGCCAGCCTGTGAGACAGCAAAATGCATTAGCTGCAAGTTGGATTGTGGGAAACTGCCGTGCACTCTGGTTGTAGCTGTAGTTGCTACAGTAGTTCAGTATCTGACACAAGAATGCCTCTCCTGAGCTTAATAGTTTAGGTCTTGGCTAGGAGTAGAAGAAATGTGGTTAAGATTTGAGAACTTTGTGTTAAAAGTGTGTAGTATGAAGCCTTGACTCTATTAACTGTAGAGGTGTGGGGCTGAAAATGTATTTAAACTTTTTTGGACAATTTTTTTGAAAATTAAATTACTATAGAAAGCGTTGTAAATATTAGATCTTAAAGGGAAGAACAATCTTGAATCCTCAATTAAGTGAGGAAAACTTTCAAATATACTTCGTTAACTAAACGTTTCGAAGCTCTCAGTCAGGTTTTTTAAAAAAAGCTAATTTTTGATAATTGCACTGGTTTCTTAGATTAGTTTTCTATCATTGTGAAGCAAATGTGTGTGTTTTGGGAAGTTTGGGAGACGTTGCTTTTAGTGTTCAAACTATACGTACATGTTTCACTGGTAGAGGTAGCCTTGTTTACTTGGAGCTTTGCCCTATACTGTGACAAGGCCAAAAATGATCTAGTTGTAATAGGCCCAGGAAACTTGTTGCTCTAAAATTGGCTTCTGTTTCTCGCACTTTCTCCCTTTAGTCTCAGTCAAAAATGAATCTAAAGAGACATAATGTTACAGTACAAGGTAGTATTGTAACAAGAATTTATGCTAGTAACTGAAAGCTCTCATTAATAGTAAAGAAAATATTTAAATATACCTTCTGGAGGGAATATGAGTAAACACACTTTGTAATTACTAATTGGAATTGTTACAGCTTCTACAGAAGCAGATGATTATTCTCTGCTTTATCAGACTGTTTTTTAGAGTTCAAAACATATTCTTAATATTGTGACTTTGTTTTCTGTTTGTGTTTGAAAGTGTTAGCCCACCAGCTATTTTTAATGAACAAAAAAACAGACTCAAAGAGTGAATTATTCTTGCTGGTGGAAGTGCTAGTGCTAGGCAAAAGACTCTGTTGTGTGTAAAAATAAATGTTGTACTCATCATGCTCTGTACAGAAGATGGATTTACCAGCTGTAATTGTTCTAGTGTTCTGCACCAAACAGTTCAGTACTCGAGCATTCAGACTTACCCAGGGTAACTGAAAGGGTGCATTTATCTACACAAGCTCATTCTCACGTCTGTTAATTGTTTGTGAGAGAGTAAGCATATTAAGCTACGTGTTAGAAGCAAATAGTGATGAAGACCTGTATAGCTGCGTCTCTTGTCTGAGGTCATGCCACTGACGCTGTAGGCTTCTAAACCTAGTGCTTGGTTTGTAGGGATCACTACGTAGGTGTGAAATAGGCCGAAAGAAAACTCTACATTTTTAACTTACGTTATAAAGTGAAACAACAATTTTAAGTAAGACTGTCCTATTTCTTTTTCAGTTTCCCTGTGCTGTTAACACTAACATCCTCATTGTCAAATGCAGAGGAGTTGAAGGAACATTCAGGATGTCAGGAGTCCTTTAACATCCTCCACTTCATGTAATACGGTCTTTCACATTGCACTGTTCTGCCACAGCGAAATGCCTGCTTGTTTAACACAGCGTCAACAGTACGCTTAGTTATGGAAGTTTGACCTTCTGTGTGTTCTGACATATCCTTAATATGCTTATACTTTATTGTC